ACATGGACTGCGTGTCGTGTGATTTGACCCAGGAGCACTCTATTTCCCACAGACTCTGCTTGAACGTGCAATGCACTTCCAGGTCCTGGGTGACGGTGTAAAGTTCACCCAAGGATCACTCTGTTTAGCTGTGCTGGGGGCTCGTAATCCCAGTGGGTCAAAATGTTTAGAGTTAAAGAGGTTACAGGCTTTTCCGAGGGAGTATTTAAGCTCCATCTGTCAAACCACTTGCGTAGAAGAAATGTATAGACTCTGCCAGGAGCAGATTAAATCACTGTTTTCTTATCTTTAATTTAATAGCAGGCATTGTTTTCATGTTGCCCTAAGAGAATAATTAATCTGTGGCAAATTTATGCCTATAGGAATTATAAATACCAGATTAAACAAATCAAAACAAAACAAAAAACAACAGTAAAGAAATTCAAGGAGACACACGTTGATGAGAGCCACATCAAGAAGGCTCTTGGGAAGCGGTCGGAATGCCTCAGGGGGCTGATCTTTCCAGAAAGCCTAAGGGACCTGAAACCTGCTTTCATGTTCGGTTTAATTGTGCACAAAAAAAAAAACCAACCCGTTCGCAGGCTTTGCACATTGAAAGGAGAATCAAAGACTACAACAGGCAGAGCTTTTTCTCAGGTTCTAAACAACAAGTTTGAAAATGAGGAAGTTTAGTATTGCAGTTTGCCAGGAAACCTGGATGCTGCTCCCTGATGCCATCGTTCCGTATCTCAGTATACAACGCAGACGTAAGTCTGATAAATTAAGGGCTTCACCGATTGTTTTCCTTCCATTTACAGGAGAAAAAGCAGCACAGGAACACAAGTGACATCGGCTGTGAGACCGAGACCGCTCCGGTTTCTCTGGTTGCTTTGAAGAAAGTGAACCCACTGCCAGTGTTTGACAAGGGAGAGGTACCAGCACAGCCGTGGTTGAAGCAATGTCAGGTCTAGGGCACGATAAGCATTGCCCAAATGCCCGTCATTGAAACTCCCAAGGCAGCTTTTCTGCTCCCTACCTTTTTGATAAAGCAAATATTTCCGTGGACTGAACGTAGGGCCCTTACAAAGAAACCGAGAATAAAGCCGGCGCCGGGCTGGGGGTGTGCGTGGGATAATCCTTACTGGGACGAGTTCTTCTGGGAGCAGAGGAGTGCTGAAGCTCAGGTTCCTGCAGGCTCGACGCTCTGACCTTGACATTCCCCGCTGTAACACGCACAGATCACTCTCATCTGCAAAATACTCTGCATCTGCTAAAATATTTAAGACACCACTTCCCCATCTCCAACCCTTTCTCCCTCGGGCATCTCCCATACCACCCAGCCAGCCCCCGCTGCAACGGCCTCACCTTCCCCAGTGCCCCCAGCCTGTTCTGGCGCGACAGCAAAAGCCTGGCTGGCTGGATTTTACGTGTGCCAAGTGACCGTGCCTAACGGGGTGACCAGCAGCCATGCTTCCTGGTGCTGAAGGGAGGTCTGTCCCCTGCCCCTGCTGCCCTTCAGCAAAAGGGGATGAAATCGGGCAGTGGACTGAAAGGTGACTGGGGGCAGGGAGCAACCCCCCCAAGGCAGCTTGGGCACAGGTAAGTCTCACTGAGAGCGTTCAACGTGAGCAAAACAGCTTAAAAAAGCTGTTTTTCACTCCAAACAATTTTCTGGAGCAGATAATTGGAAACACTGGGGAAAAAAAAAACATGAGCTAGCTAGTTTGAGGGTTTGCAGGTTTTGATGCTGGAAGAGGAATGACAGGCTTTCAATATGAAGCATAATAGTACTAACCTTGGTACCTACGTTCTTGGTTTTGTTTGGGGTTTTTTAACAGCTAAATAAATCAGGCACACTCCTGCAGCCTTCACCAGTCATACAAAAGGAAAATATTTATTGGGGTGATAAACAACCAACACTGATGTCTCCCATCAGGTAGAACCAACCCGAAGAGAAGAGGGAAAAGAAAAACCACAAAGCCCCAGAACTGTTGCGATCGTAAAGGACCTTGGGAAGTACTCAGAAATGCCTAAATAGCACAACTCAATCTGACCACAACACAAATACTTGGCTGCATCAGGCTCAGGACTGCTACTTCCCAAAGGCACGGCAGCGTGCACAATTCTGTCGGCTGCTTGCTTTGGTAGCAAGGCTGGTGCTGATGTGGTTATTGCAGGAGGAGCGAGGAGGGTAAAAGTATCACAGAATCATAGAATGATTTGGGTTGGAAGGGACCTCAGAGATCATCCAGTTCCAACCCCCCTGCCATGGGCAGGGACACCCTCCACTACACCAGGTTGCCCAAAGCCCCATCCAACCTGACCTTGAACACTGCCAGGGATGGGGCATCTTCTGGCTTAACGCAAGATGAGCAGCGCGAGTCCAGCCAATACAACAGAGCCAGCCAAAAGCCAGAGAAGCCTCAAACCTACTGTGGGGAGCTCCACCACCTCTTCATTATCAGCAGTTTCCAGCCCCGAGTCTTTGTCTGCCTCTGCAACCCCCTTCCCACCCACACACATTCCTTTCCCGCAATGCTGCTTTATTTGGCTTATCATCTTTTTGCTAACTCCATTTAATTGGCGCATTTAACTCCTCCTGTTCCTTAACAGTCCCTCTGACATCACTTGTTTACCGAAAACGCAGTCATAGCCTTAAGTGTTACATTTCAAAACAGCGTCCAAATTGAGAAAGGCCTTGTTAGCTCACACGCACTTCGTAAACCACGGGGCACGCCAAGGCAAGCGGGGCTTTACGAGCTGCGGCACTGGCCGAGCCAAAGTCTGCACACAACCAGGCTGCTCCCGACATCCAAAGTCTGCTTTTTCAGAAGCTCCTGTAAGACAAGGAAGCTGCATCTCCCTGCAATGAACCATCCGGTTTTTACCGCATCTATTGCAGATCAGAGGGGATCCTCCGCGCTGCTAAAGCCGGGTTAGTTTAGTTCATCACAAACGCTCCACCTGGTCTGAGTTTCCACAGCCAGATCCATCAGGAATCTAAGGAAGAAAATCCCAAGCAGGAGAGGTGCCAAAACCCCTTATGCTGATATAATTATGTCAGGAAGGAGAAAAACCACCACCAATAAAATACTCCTTTAGGCAATTTGGTTTTATTTGGGGAATGGCTGCAGGTTTTACACACACAAAACCACACCGACCTCAGGCACCCTCAGCTGCACCTGCACTGGGAATTTTGTCCGTACAACCTCCCCCCTAACTTTTCCTAGCGTAGCCAAAGCCTGCCAGGCACTGCCAAAGGCAGCACACAGCTTCAACCCGGGACGGGAGGCTTTCTCCCTCTTGGTGAGTGTTTTTGCTGGGGGATTTGGGACAGAGGGAGGTTGTCTTGTAACAGTTTTGCTCCACAAGAATTACTTCACTATCAAAAAAATAGCAGTAAACGGAAGCAGTAAAGCACCCTTCACTGCGAGTGCAGTACTACGGGTAAAGCTGAGCCCGGTACCCGCGTGTCAAGGCATCAGAGGTGCCAAAGGCTTGCCCAGCTGGAAGCAGGATCGTGCGAGGGCGTAACCACCTACGTATCCTCTGCCTGTTGTTCTGCTGCTCAGAGCACAGTGCTACTAACCTTTGCCAGAAGCCTGTCACACAGACATAAGCAAAAAGTAAAGGCTTTGCTTGATTCTCAACCCCATTAGTAACTTCTGGACAGCCAACGGTAAAGTTCCTCTAAAACGCATGGTGTGGGAGGGAATTCAGGGAGAAAAAACCCAACAACAAACAACCCAGCAAAAACTCCTATAACACAACACGTTCTTGCTCCAGAACGGCCCTTCTCTGGCACCACGCTCTCGGGAGCGAGGCACTGAGCAGGGTGTCTCTTGCGAGGCTGTGGCAGAGAAGAGGCTCCGTGGCTTCCCCTGCCAGCAGCAGCGAGGCCCCGCTTCCATCCGGGAGAAGAGCACGTCCCTGACACGGTAACAACACGGGTTAAACTCCCAGCATGAAGCAGGCGAGTTGTAGTTTTAACACGTTAACATGTTCTACCAGGGGAAAAGCTGAAGTATTTTTAGCATGGCCTGAGTGTTTGTCTCTGCACTGTTCTGGCCTTTTTTGGAATTTTTAACTCTGGAAACAAATACAATACCCTTTGCAATAGTTAAACACCACCTATTTTCTTTTATTGTTTGCCACAGAGATGACTGCGAGCTGTACTTTCGAAGACATTAAAGGAGAAACATAAATCAGCTACTTTCGACGCAACTTTCCCCCTTCCCAACGCCAGACACTTCACTTACTGTTTCCCTAATTCCTGCCCGTGCCCCCGGGGCCTTCCCTACTTACATGCTTAGCTGTGATGAAACCTCAGTGGAGAAAATATTTTTCTTCATGATGAAATCCAATCCCGAGTTGTCACTTGGAGGCGTTGCCCCTCGCTCTCGTGCAACTGCCCTCGAGTCCTTCCCAAGACACGTTGGGGAGCAGCGTCTGACGACAGGACGTTTGGTTTGATCACGTTGAAAGCCCACGGCTGCATCATCCCCCCACCGTGCTGCGGGCAGAGCCCGCCGAGTCAGTTCGGGACAAAGGAGGAGATGGAGTTAAGCACAAACGTAACAAGAAGAACCGACGCGAGGTGAGTGAGGACTGAAAGGGGACTCACGTGGAGTGGAGGAGGCACTCCCCCTCTCCTATTTTCTCTCCCATTTCAAATATCATCCCCTTCCCCTTCCCCTCTGCCTGGCCCTAGCATAAGCATGCAACACAACCAGCAGGAACAGATGTCTGACCGTGCCGTGCCCAGGGACTGGCAACATCCAGGCCACGCACACAAGTCACCCAGAGAAACAAGGCTCTGGAAAAGATTAATGGTGAGAGAGGCTTCTGTGGCTGCGAAAAGGAGACTGTGGTTGATCATCTGCTCTCAGCTGAAGGGAGAGGAGAACAAGCCTTTTGTTTGTCCCAGTTCTTCTCTTCCTCCTCGTCAGAGATTGCCATCACCACTGCTTCTGGAGGTGGGGAGGAGATGGGGTGGGGGGGCTGCAGCTGGCGACTCAGCTTCATCTCTCAGGCAGCAGGACGAAGAAGATGGCCTTGAGGAAGTGACCAAAGCTGCAAACAGCAGCCACGAGCCAGTGGGAGCGGAGGCTGGGGTCGGTATTCACCACGCATTTTGTGATGTCCGCCTAACGAGGAGGAGGGAAGAGAAACCATCAGAGAGAGATGCCCAGAACCACTCCAACCACCACTGCGGACTCTCCCAGCCCCAACGGCACCGTGCCACCACCGCTGCAGCACCGCTCTGCCCCGCTGCCAACAGCCACAAACGCTTGCTCTGACGCTTCCACGCACCACGAGTTATTAAATCAGGCTCAGGAGCTCTGTGAAATACACTTTCTCCATTCCACATCGATAAGGCAAAGGTCCCCCTTTTCAGCCACCCCTGAGGAAAGAAGCGCTGCAGGAAGATTGTCAAGCATTTTCCATTTTGAATAGCTAAATAAAAGAAACTTTCTTCCCCTTTTCAAAAGGGCTAGGAAGCTTTGGCAATATCAGCATTCTCATCCTTTGCCGTAAAGCAAGATGCTTCCCAGAGGTTGTCCTGTTTAATATCAGCTCAAGTTGCTTGCACTTTTTCTCTTGCCTTAATGTTTTATTTGGAACTCGTCCAAGCAAGCCAACCCCCTCCAGTTACATCTCAGGCAATGCAAGCTTTGTTTGTGGAAATATGTGTGCTGGCAGAGATGCCTCCCAGACGCGTGGGCTAGATTTAAAGATCACTTGGGCAGCTGGTTTCAAGTATTAACAAGAATAGAAGCTGGCCTGCAATGAATAAAAACTAACAACAGTCCAGCAAATTCATGAAGACAGGACCTCAGCTGGCATCAGGAGGAGAAGGTGGAAAACACCTGGAGGGTAAAGCAAACAGGACCGAGGTAGATAGAAAATTGCATCTTCTGGTGGGAGGAACAAATTCAAGTTCTGCCAACAATAAAATTGAGTTTGTGGTTAAACTTCAGTCCAGCACAAGGAGATACGGACTGTAGCTCTGTAACAACGCGTGCACTGTTAGCCCATCAACCTAATGTGGTTTTCAGAAATGGCTTTTGGGTGGCAAATAAGAACAAGAGTTGAGTCACAGGGAGGGAAAATATTCATCAGCCTCAAAAGCTTTTTCTTTACAAGCTCAGCTCAGCAGTCTTCTGAGTTTGCCTTTTGACACAAGTCTCATTGACCAAGCAGAAGGAAGTCAGACTCTTGACCCTGAGATGTTCCTTCCGTAAAATGGGATGCGAGAGCTGCTGAATGCTCCACTAATCTTTTCCAGTATTTCTGCCTGTGGTCAAGACATGGGTGAGCCTCACCTGACTGACCGTGGCGATAATTAGAAGAAAACAGAAGGGGGACTGAAGGGACAAACCCCTGGGTCCGATTAGTGAACATAGCCACACTAACCGACTCCACCGTCATCTACAGACCAAAGATCTGTTGACAGCAGCCTCAACAGCCTCCCACACAGTTCCTCCCTCCCAAGAAAGTCTGAAAGGCTGGCACACTCAATCACCCCGCACCGCTGTTCCCTGGGGAGCATTAGGAGACACTGAGCCCACGAATAACTGACAAATAGAGATCGCAGGAGGAAGGAATACAGGCACTCAAGGACGGGAAGAAACAGGATGACGGGAGGAAGCTGAATCAGCACGCGGAGTGCTCCTGAGGCTGAACACCAAGGTGTGGAAATGCTGCTGCCTATAGCTACACAAGCAAACATAGCAAGCAGCCAAGATAGCACGTAACAGAAGATGCTGCAATGTAGTACCGGTGGTTATAGGTATTGTACTTTATCTGTATCATACAATCACAGAATGGTTTGGGTTGGAAGGAACCTTCAAGATCATCTAGTTCCAACCCCCTTGCCATGGGCAGGGACACGCTCCACTACACCAGGTTGCCCAAAGCCTCATCCAACCTGGCCTTGAACACTTCCAGGGATGGGGCAGCCACAGCTTCTCTGGGCAACCTGTGCCAGTGCCTCACTACCCTCATTGTAAACAATTTTTTTCTTATGTCTAATCATGGAGGAAAGTAAAATGGGTCTGCCCAGATGCTTTCAATGATGGCTTAGCAAACACCCTACTGGCATTTTTTAAAAGTCTGAACTGATTCAGCCTGTACAATTTGAGGGACCAGCACATCCCTACAACACAGTTGTGTCAAGCTGTTTCTTTAGCCACGAGACATCACGAAGTGCAAGTACCCACCTGAACACGTATGCAGATGTTAGGGAGAGTGACCAATAAGAAACCTCAGCTCTGAAGGGCTTTAGTCCCTCCTGGGAACAAGCACAAGGCCCAGATATGCACACCAGGTTGATTACAGCTGCAGAGGGTTAACTTCGAGAGAAAGCAGGAACTCCCCAAAGCTGTGCTATGCCCAATAACCTCACCGCAGCTAATCAAGAGGAGCTGTAGTCAGAAGCATTTACAAATTTGTGTGGTGCCTGCTTAGATCAACGGCATTGCCTTAGCTTTTGTTATCCAAACAAAGCACACCTGATAAGGCAGTGGAATTGAAAAATTTCAAAGCTACTTAATCAAACAGGTCTTTGAGTCTTGTGAGGCACTGATAAACCGTTGCAACGGCAGTTTGATCTTCGCCTGTTAATTATTCAAACAAGTTCAAGTCGCATGCTCTTCTTTGGAGCAAACGCAGGTAAGAGTTGCTAAAAAAAAAAATAATAATCTTTCTGTTCTACTGTAAAGCCACTAGTGAGGCTGCAAACTCTCCCCAGAGAGAGAGAATGCCTCAAGGGGTTACACATTCCTTGTTTCTCCTAAGAGGTTTGTTTTGGGCTGGGCTTTGGGAGGTAGGGGCTTTCTCCACCCTATGGAAGCTGTATGGGAACCTACTGCTGAGTGGAGACTTTCAAATGCTTTTCCAAGGTCTCCACGATGGCTTTTCTGGAACAGCTCAGAGCACGGTGGTTCCTCTTGGCAGCCTCAACCTGAGCCAAGGCGTAAGAGCCGGGGGCCACGCGCACAGGGGAAACAAGGACTCCATGCCAAGACAAACTAACAACCAGCTAGGATGGGCAGCAGATGAAAGGGTCACTGCTACCGAGCTGTTTCGTCTGGCCCCTTTGTGAACAAGGCCGGGAAATTTCACACCGCAGTGCCTAGACCAAGAGGAAGAACATTCAGCGAAGCAGAGCACAACATGGCAAGAAGATTAGCAGCCTTCCTCCAGACTGAAGGAACCACTCATTTCTAGAGGCAAAACATCCCCGTGTTGCAGCCCAAAACTGCTGATAATAATTTGATACTAATTGCTGATATACTGGAGACAGGCTGCAACCAGTACAACCCATCAGCTTTTACAGTCATTTTGTTTGACTGGGGGCAGCGAGACTGGCTCCCCTTTCTCTGGGCCAGATCCTGAGAGCAAGCAGCATGGGTTCAGCAACTCCAACAGACATGTGCTGGCCACCCAGACAGATGATGGCCAGAAGGAGCTAGCAGCAGACAGGGCTTATCTCCTCAGCTGCAAAGAACCACTTCTGGTCAGGGGATGGGGTTTGTGGCTTGTTTGCTACGCAACGGACTTTCAAAAAAAAAAAAAAATCTATTTGGAACTACCAAAACACCCTGTTTTGAACTCTAATGATGTAGTACAAAAGTTAAAATGAGATGCTAACTTATCAGAACATGCGTGTTTTACCAAAACAAGGAAAAAAAATTAGTTGGAGACTAGGAGGAGACAGATTCCTACGTGACATTTCAATTCTAATGAAACTGGATTTTTTCCAAAGGAAAAATGGTTTCAGAGAATACATTTCAACCAGCTCTACAGGTACCCAGTTAAAATAAGCCTCAAACGATCCTGAGGCAGGGATTTCACAGGCAGGAACAGTGGTACTTAATCAGTCGCTTTCCCAGGATATCCTCTTCACCCACCTCGGCACAATTTTTTGTGCGGATGCAAAATGAAACGGATCAGGGCGTTCAAATCAAAGGTTATTTCTCAGCCCAGTCAAACACTTCCCTGACCCAGCTGGCCCGAAGGTCGCACAGTTTTAGAGAGGGCAAGGGTGATCTAAGGAGGCAATGACGCTTAGTAAATGCAAGGGATCCAACATCGGAACGACGTCACTCTGCCGGTTGCCCTGCATCGAGAAGGTGCCTTCACTCCTGGGGAAACTAGGGGACTGAATCAGCTACAGGCACACTTGGGAAGCCTCAGCACAGAGCAGCAAGGCTCAGTTTGGAAAAAGACATCCTCCTCCTCCTTCCTCTGATCTGTGTAGGGTGCGGAGCCTGACCATTTCCTGACGGCTCAAGAATAAATATCACCTCTTAGAAAGGAGGGAATTCGCTGCGGTGGCTCAGCCTGGAATGAGTGCACGCCTTGGGAACAAGAGGTCCCACGAGCTCAGTGGTGTCATATGATGGTATTTAGCTCTAGGCAGCATCTGCCAGGCAGTACACCAAAGTGCTCTGGGCTGTACTGCTCCGAGGAGGTCTATATCCCTGCCAGAAAGGCACAGAGACCCTGGCACAGATGTACATCACCCAGCTGCCAACTGCCAACGTAGCCAAGCAGTCACCTCGGTCTCCTGGGGAGGTCACTAGACGGGTGTCTGGCTATTCCACAGCACCAAAGTAAAGCTCTTGCTCTGAACCATCCTCCACAGAAGCATTGTATTTCCCATTGGGTGTGGGGAGAAGCAAAGAAATCAGATGCTCAAAGCCATACGATACGGAGCCACGCTCCAACGCGGAGCAGCACCGTGCCTTACGCACAGTCTTGGAGTAGGCCAGAGGCAGAGCCACGAGCCCTCCCACTGTCGATGGGTGTAACGAGCACTCTTCAAAGCACAAGCATGCCTCAATTTGAGCTACGTCAGAAGAGGTTATTCATGGAGCATCATCAGAGCCAGGTCAGGAAACAGCACAACCTGTCAGATTGTAATATCCCTTTAAAATCCCTTACAGTGGCAAGTCACATTAATACACACTAAGCTTTGACTTGGGCACCTGTGGGGCAGGTGAAAGGGGAATTCAGTTGGCCGGCCTCATTTTTTTTTCAGTTTCTAGAAAACAGCTGCCCAAGAGAATGACCCCTATTTACAGTCTCCCGCTACGACTGGCTGGCAGCTCCAGGGATGTTCAGGTCAGGAACAGAAGAGGCACCGGTGGGTCAGGACTGAGTTAGTCTGGCACAGCTACGCAGGAAGCTGAGGAGCAGAAGAGCTGATGCAGTTGAGGATGGGACCACGAGGCAGTAACAGAGCTATATGGAGTCTAGCACAGGTGTGAATAGGACAGTGGTGGCCACAGGGCTGTGGAAGAGAACCTCATTTGATGTTTTTCTGCACAAAGCTGCAGTGGGGACACTCTCCCTTTCATTAACTGGGATGTTTTCTGACCTGCACGTGTGGAAGCAAGCTTGATCAGACAGCGTCTCTTACCCAGCCTCCTCTCCTTTTCAGCCATGTCACCAAGGTCTTGCGGACAAATTCTCCCAGGCAGTCAACGATGGTGTGGACCATGGCTGGCTGCGCATGCCGCACGCAGTCCACCGCCAGCCCAGCTGCCACAGCATAGAGGGACACCACCTTGCCCCACGTTATGCCTACGGAGAGAAGAAAAGTCATTCAGATCTACACACATAGCTCAGTCTTGACAGTCAAAGGACTCCGAGCTCGAGTGCAGCCACAGTTCTGCATGCTCTCCACCACGAAGGAAAAGAATCATGGAATCATAGAATGGTTTGGGTTGGAAGGGACCTCAAAGATCATCTAGTTCCAACTCCCCTGCCATAGGCAGGGACAACCAGGATTGGGGAAGACTCTCCATCTGGAGGAGCAGAATTAAATGATCTGACCTGGGCATGCTTTGACCAGCTCTCAGCACTGGGTGCACAGCTTTGGAGAAAGCAGCCCAAAGGCATCATCAGAAGAGGGAAAACGTGTACCACTGTGGTCTATCCTGCCATTGGGCAATGTGGGGTTTTTGTCACCAGCACACCTCTTAAACACCCTTTAGACAAAGTGTTCCTGTTTGGTTTTTTTTGCCAGATCAGAGGAGACTGTTCCGCTGTCACATGCAAAGCACACATGAGATAAGCACTGTCAGTTCTACCATGACATCACAGCAAAAAAGATAGGGAAAGCTACAGGGCCAAGAGGGTTGGTATCCTCCTTAATGTAAGGAGTACACCTCAGTCTCCACCTGAAAACCAGGCAGCTCCAAGAATTTGGCCACTCTGCCTAAAGCACTTAACATTGCATATCCAGTCCTACTGAAGGCAGTGCAGGGATGGAGTGTCGGTCAGTTATCTAATCTCCCAGAAAACAGCCTTCCTGCTAGGCTGACCTGCCAGCAGCGAATGCTCCATGGAAGTCGTCCTAGCAGCAGTCATCTTCCTGTTCGTGCTAGTGATAAGTGCTCGAGCCCAGTTCTGGGTACCAGCCAACGTCCCTGGGTCTCCCTTGCACTTTGCCAACACCACTGGGCATAAATCCTCCATGCTTGAACATTGCAGCCAGCCTCATCAGGCTTTTATCAGGACCAGTGACCTGGAAACGGAACCCTTCTGCACCCACATAGAACAACTACCACAGCACAACGGCACGTGGATCTCCTTTGGATCCACTAGGAAGTTTAATTCCCTCTCTTACTTTATTATGTGGAATAGCAGTATTTGACAAGCATCCTGCGAAGTATTTTACAGTGTTAGGTCTCTATGGAGTCTGTCCAAGGTCTCTTCCAAACGCAGCCAGAAGCCAGGTGAAGTTTCGGTATTTAAAAAACACACAAAACCATTCTTGCAGGGTTGCAACAAGAAAGAAAACAGGTGAGAGGAAGGAAAAACTAGTTCAGTCACTAGATCTAAGGACCAGAAGGGGTTAAACACACAATCAAGAAACTGGACGTGCTCAGCAATCTATCAGCTAAGCAAGCAAACCCTTAAATACGATTTAAACGAAGTAAAGAGTCTCCCTCTTTCCTTGTCACAGTGCCAGATCCTCAGGCACCCTGACCCATCTCTTCGGGCTGGAGCTCCAGGCTCCCCACATTCCTTCCCAAGACGTGCAGGTTTCAGAGCGTTCCCACAACCCTCCCACTTAGTGCCCCAAAAGGGACACTCGCACTAACGCTCTCAGGAACCGCTCGCTTTTTGTTTTTTAAACAAACGAACAAAAAAGCAGTAAACTTCAGGGAAACTATCATTTATCTGTCCTCCTCACACTGCCCGTCACCATGACAGCCCGCAGAAGGAGCCAGGAAGAGGCTAGGAAACCGCAGGAGAAAACACTAGACCGAGGGCTTCTCCTGGCAAGAGAGAGGCTGTCAGCTGCAGGTCAACACCTCTCTGCCCAACAACAGAGGCTTTAAGGGGTTACCTCTTGCTGACCACAATCTCCTGGACCAGAGCCTCAGCTTGCTTATAATCAGCTTCAGTGTAAGTCAGGTTTTTCTGCAGGAGCCTGACTCCTTGTATCTTCAGTCACAGGAACCAAAGTTACCCAAAATTCCAGGGAAGAGTTCACTGGCTTATTCCCAAGCTTTTACAGACGGCATTCTTTCTCAAGTATCTGAAGCAAGCCCATTAGCTTTGAGATATCTACAAGGCAGTAACTAAAACTGACAGGGGGCTGAGGCCAGCCTGGTACAGAAAGACAGCTGCAGTCTTGATTAACTTTGTTTTAACCCAAATTTCTCTTTCCAACAGAAGAAAAGTATATCCACAATCTCTGAAAGACAAAGGACCAAGGACTCAATAGACCGGTGATTTCCCTAAACCACGGGAAAGCAGTTTGCCCTACGGACATGTCAGTCCAGGTGTCTCCTCCCAGGGAGGATGGAGAGAAAGCCCTTCAGCTCTGGCTTCTCTCCACGGCTGCTGCGCGGCGGTGCTTGCTGCAGGACTTGCACGACGTGAACGCTCCCCCAGCACACGGGCAGAGCCCCTCTCCCCTTCACGTGGTCAGCAAAGAGGGCGAGTTGTTGGCCGATGCTTATCGTGGTGATGGATGTGAAGGGCTCAGTGGTCACTTCCCATTATCCTCCTCTTTACAGAGCACGCCTCCAAGGGTCAAACCAATTTTTCAGTCTGCTCTTCCTGTTGCCAGCAGAGCTGGGCCACAGGGGTGGGAGAGGAGGAAATCCCTTCCTGATTTCTCGGCATGGAAACTCCTCTGTTGTCACTGCTGGAGGCAGAAGATGGAGACAGCTGGCTGGGCTCCTCACTCAAGACAGAAGGGCACAGGAGCCTGTGCTCCTGTTCACACA